ACTGAAATATGCTAGAAGAATTTCACAATTTCATTTATTACTACGTTTTTAGTCATTCTAAAAAATAAGTTTAAAAATCTTTCATATTATAAATTATAATATTGGGGTAGATTCACAAAATTATTTCTTGTAGAAAATATGAAATAAATATAAAAATTTTAAATGTCTTTTTGCATTGAATCACCTTTTCGTTCGTTGTAACATTATTTAGCAAAGATCTTGTATTTGCAGACAAATCCGTGCTACAAATAAACATAAATTTGCTAAAGTCTCTACCAAATGAAGTATTCCTTACTTTATATTACACTATGAGCAGGGACGCCCTTAATAAGGTAAAAGTATCTTTTTAAAGTCCTTCAAACGCGCAGAAACAGAAAAACAAAATTTACAAAATAAATTCGTGAAATTGAATATAGTCATACCTCATCATACAGCAGGTACTTCTACATACTAAGCCCACGCGGGAGTGCGGGAGCAACCGGCTTAGAATTACGAAGCAGGTACATAGAGGAATTGCTCTTCTTCTCTGATTGGTTGACGCTTCACAGCTAAATAGTGCTGTCCTCGCAGTTTTAGACAAAGAGAAGAAATGGCGAGTAAGCAAGAGAACATGACATCAACACAACACAAGCGAAACAAGTCACACCGACGACACCAATGTCGCTTGTCACACTTTACCATGCTTGCAAACTCACTCTATCGTGTATCCATTTACAAGGTGCTCTATCTGAAACACTCGGTTCGACTTGTACTTTTCGCCCCATAGGATTCTCGAACACACAGTCCAGCATATTTGCGAACATCTTGAAACAGTGACCACTTTTACAATAATTACAATTTTCCAAAACCCGTCAGCTTCATTTTAGATAATACTTTCTAGTTTATGAATCTACAAAATTTTGTTAATTCAACCATCCCAGTAATTGTCAACTGTGACAGGCAGCATTCGATGCTTTACGAGAAAGATTTTCGAAAGCAATGAATAATTTCGCAATTCTATATGATTTTTAATTTTCATAATTTGAAAAACAAAGCTGAAACTTGCATTCATATTCTCTTAGAAAGACTACGTATTTAATTTAGTAATTGCCTACAAAAAATTCTCAAACTCAGAGATTTAGAGAATTAGAGTTAAGAATTATTGCAGATTAGAACAATTTACTGGCAAAAAAGATTGAAAAATTATATGAAACAATTCCAAAATGTCTACTAGAAATTTCGATTCGCAATCTACAACAAAACTAGGAATATGAGGAAATAGCTGTATTACAGCCATTTATTTGGTTTATTAGTCTGTGTTACATAGAAAATTGTATTTTATTCGAAGATTGATATTCTCACTTCTGGAATGAATAACAACGAACTTTCCTTCTTGCACGAATTTGAGTTCTTGAAAAGGGCCGTTATTATTAAATAGAGGAGCCTGTGAAACACAGGAGGTTGTAAACAGACAAGCCAAGCCCGCGAGGGGCCCGAGGTCAAAAAGGCCTAAATATGTATATACCAGGGCTTGGACAAAAAGGTTTTGAACCTCGCGCCATACTTTCACGCACGGGCTAAATGCCATCAATACTCCCATTCTGCGCACTTCGTGGCCCGTGATTTATGGTTCGAAATTATTCGAATTGTTTCAAATAAATATTTCACTAATATAATTTTCCGAATGAAGTCTTGTCTCTAGAATATTTTATTCGGATAACGATTATTCATTATTCCAACAAATTATTCCATCCACTTATTCAAAAAATATATATTCCATCCATTTATTCGAATAAGCTATTCTATGTATTTATCCGAACAAGTCTTTTCGGGCATTACACAATTATTCGAATCATAAAGGGGATTATATGTTAACTGTTTTTGTCTTTACATAGATTTAAGGGAATATATTTATTATATACAAATTATAATATTACAAATATATACAATATATTTGTAATATTATAGTTATATTATAATATTACAAATTATAATTTGTTATATTATATATTATAATATTATATATTATAATATTACAAATTATAATTTGTTATATTATATATTATAATATTACAAATTATAATTTGTAAGCTATGAAATAACAGTTCCCGGGAAGAAAGTATCTATACCAGCAATAAAAGGATTAATGATAACTGCGGAAATTCTTTTTGTCCGTGCCCTGATACATGCTAGGCTTTTTCGTCCTCGGGCTCCTGGCGTTTACAACCTCCTGTGTTCCACAGGCTCCTTTATTTAATAATAATGGTCCTTTTCAGGGCCTCAAATTCATGCAAACAGAAAAGTTCATCCTTATTCACTCCAGAAATGAGAATGTCAATGTCAGAATAAAATAAAATTTTCTATGTAACAAAAAACTAAGTTTGAGAATTTTTTGTAGGTACATAATTACTAAATTAAATGTGTAGTCTGTCTGAAACTATGAGGACAGCACAGTTTAGCTGTGAAACGTCAACCAGTCAGAGGAGAAGCAGTTTCTCTATCTGCTTCATAATTCTAATCCGGTTGCCCCAACATGGCCTTACTATGGTGAAGCACTACTGTACATACATAGTCAATTGTACACTCAATCACATAATTTTAGAAGGCACTAAGAAATAGAGGAACAAACATTTTCTTTAGATTAGAACCTTATACTAAATTTAATTTAAACAGTATGAAGTTTCCTTCCTTGTTAATTACGTAAAAAATATATTATTCTCATAATAGACCTTGTAATAGGTAACCTAAGGGCGGCTCTGATCATAAGTATACACGGGGTTCCGCCTAAATAAAGCCTCCTAAATATCTTCTCCAATTGTGGGGGCACAAAAAATATTTTGTATGCTATTTGAATGATTTGAAGAAATCATTACGTTGCAAAAATATCTTTTTTGAAGTTTACAGGGTATCTTGTAAACTTTGAAAAAAATGGCTTTAGAAAAACAATATTTTTCGCAACATAATGGTTTCTTCAAACCATTCAAATAGCATACAAGATATTTGTTGTGCTCCCATAATTGGATGAGATATTTAGGTTGCCTTATCTAGGCAGACTACCTTGTATAAAAATTTGCAAACTTAAATTGTATGCCAGGCTAGAGATCAATTTTCAAATTACATTCTTAGTTTTATAATACTTCTTTCGTCGTTACTGTGATAGGTATAAAAACTGATAAATTGCAAAAATATTAAAGTTAAGTATGAAAATTAGATATAACTTCTTAAGTTACTTTTAACTCGTTGCACTCGACTGGTGACTCCGACTCACCACTTAAAATTGTTACATAACGTTTCAAAATAATTTTAATGTTGTCAATGTGTTTTAAAACTGTTAAAAGTACAATTGTCGCACGAGTCATAAAAGTCAATTTCATACATATAAAATGCACTAAAGTCATACAAAATAAAAGTACTATAAGTCAAAAAAACTATTTTGAATTCAGAGTTAAAATGGCTTCGAGTGCAAAGAGTTAATATACAGGTAGAAATGCTTATAGATTTGAAGAACTTGAAGACAAGTTTTCTTCTTTTACTATTTCATCGGTAATAGCTTAGAAACGTAAAAACAGGCGCACTCTACGAAAAATCAATTGAAAATAGTATTTTGACAGTGGTATCGATTTAATTAGAATTTCCCTAGTAGTCAAGATATTAGAACACCTCGACGTCCATCGAAATGAGAAAATTTACAAAACTTACATTGCAGTCATTTTCCATAATGCCATATGTCGTCGCTTATCATAGAACCCTTCGATCTTTGAAAAATGATTCTTTGAATGTTCGTTTATGATTACGGTAATCACATTTTATACAACTGATCTCATAGATTAGTACTTTCTTGATCCGTTTTAAGCCGCGTGGTCGGTGGAGGTGGCGGAGGTGGCTGTGGCCTTGGAGGTCTCTGATGGAACCTTGGCGAGGCCGGAACAGGTTGTTGCGGTGATTTAATAACTACTACTGTTTCAGTCTGTGTTTGAACATCGATAATATTCCCTTCCGATCTGGTTCGTACGTGTGCTTTCGTTTGTTCTGGCGCACTTAATTTTGCAGGCTTTTCCGATCGTTCACCGTACAAGGACATAGATGACGGTCGACTACCTACACTCGGGCTTCTCTGCAAGTTCGAAGCCATGTTGCCATTGTTGTCGCCCGTTGTGCAGAACACATTGCCATTGCCACGCACTTGTATTATACTGACCTGTTGTTTGTCCACCGAGTACACGTGAGCTCTTTCCAATGTTAAAGGCTGCAGGTTTTATGAAAAAAGAAAACAGATTAACAGCTCTGTGAAAATCGTTGCCTCTATGGAAAATTACATTCACACTTCCAGCAAAATTAATATACACTATTAACAGAATTGTTCTCCACTTTAAATATAGCTTACGTTATTGTATTTCAATAATGTAATATCCGGGCAGTGATATTTGTTGTGTCCACTGGCAATAACTACATTTATTAAGGGTTATCTGACATGTAAAACTGAGGTTGAACAGCGCTTGAAATTGCCTGATACTCACCCCTGTTTCAGTGTCTAAATTTTCATTACTATGACGTGGGTGTTGTCTGATAAGGCTCGAAGGTCGCATTAATCCAGCAGGCCGTTCTGGTATTGCTGGTTTACTACTTCTGTCCAGAGTGCTTGTATTGGTAGAACTAGTGTTATCTGTCTTTCTACGTAACTCAACTGATTCTTCTGCAATTTTTAACAATGTTAAAATTGTAACAAGAAATGATAACTTCTTCGTTGACTTTGAACTTTTTTAAACACTATTTAAACATGTTTAAATGTACAGTACATTTACTGAGAGTTTAAAGTCCAAGTAGGTTTTAAACGGTGTAATAAGCATCGGTAATTATATTTACCTGTGTTATGTATTACATTAGTTATACTTCTTGGAGCTGCAACCGGTCTCCGTCTTTCCAATGTGGATGGATGTGGTTTCTCTGTGACTACCGGTTTTATCCTTTGTACCGTGGTGTCCAAATTTTCCATCTCTAGCTTGTTGTTTGATGAATTTTCAATAATAGATTTTTCTGTGTTCACGAGTGTATTCAGTTTCTTTTCTGACTTTTGTAATTCTTGATTTCTTTTTTCTACCTCAGCGTGCATATTACGTAATTCGTCTATTACTTCATTAATGTGTTCCGGACAACCTGAGGACGGTGTGTCTATAGTTACGTTCGTATCATGGCTTTGTTGCTTGACTTCTGTTTCTGTATTTATGTCTTGTTTCTCTATGTTATTATCATGTTTGACTGGTAACTCTGTATTTATCACATCTTGTTTATGAGCTTTATTCATTGTACGATTAAGGGTCGCAGTTGTCAAAGGCCTGGGCGGTTTGTCAGGTGTGGGCGGTGGTTTGTCATCGGGCTTCTTATCATGTTTGTCAGGTGTCGTGCTACTCGGTGGCGTTGGAGCTGGTTTGTTTTTTCTACGAGCTGCCGGTTTAGGACTACCTTGTGGAGGACTTTCACCGTGATCACTGAGACTGCTATTCGAAACGCAACGACGCATGCCTGTGATTTGATTTTCTATACCGTTTAAAATGCCAACGTCCAAATCACGGTCAAAATCTATTTCACCAGGAAAGAACCAATTTGCGTATGTAATCAACTGATCCACTATAAGACTAGAATTATTAGCTGTGCTCATATTCATTCTGAAATAACAGTAGAAATTATATAAATAGAAAATTATCCTGCTGTAAGCGATCAGACAATAACTAAATTAGAACGTTTTATATAACTCGTATAGAAGGAAAACTGTTCTTACACCATTGTATTTGCATCCTCTTGAGGACTCCATATCAAATTCGGCGCAATAACAATAGCAATGTTTTGCGGTGACATTTTATTTATGTCTTGGTTTTTCGTGAGTACAGCCAAAAATTTGATTAGGAACCGTAAATTTTCTAGATTCACAGGAGGTAGTTTGTATAGCACCTCCCAAAGAGCTCTCAATCTTGTCTCGTTATTTGTTATTTTCGCAGCTGCCATCCATTCAGGATATAATCTTTAAATTAATAAAATGTGCACATACAATCTCATTATTTTCTATTCCCTTATTTGCACATTTATTATACTTACTTGTATGTTAAGAGAGGCTCCGGGAGTTCTCTTAAATAGGACTTTAATGCGCCAGCGATCACATGAGGATCTTTATATTCCAGAGCAATTGGTAACGTAAGGCAGCAAGCATCTAAACTTAACTTAATTCGTCGCGACTTTGATGCAGCGCCAGCTATTCTAAAAAGGCCTTCTTCTTCCATACCCAGTCGTAATAAAGCAGATACACATAATTGGATAGGCAAAGCAATCTTTCTATTAGTCACCCTAAGGTGCTCCTCAAGTGGATAACCATAAACTGGTTTCATTTCATTGTCATCTGAAATTAAAGAAATGATTTAAACAAATATACTCAAACATTATTTATTTCTGATTTGTAAATATTTCAATTCTATATATTATAATAAGATGATGATATTGTTATGAATAAAAAATAGCTTCCAAAAATTGATGAATATTAAAATACTTACTTATATAACTTTCTAATCCTGGAATAAGTTCTTCCAAACAATGAAGTGCACTTTCATGGTAAGCCCTTTGAAGTTTTACATATTGAATAATAGTGTGTGCTAATTCAGTTTCCCTGGACATAAGTTGAAACATTTCTGCAGCTAACTGGTCTCTGCATTGCTCAACCTTAGCTTCAGCCTCTTCTAATTCTTCTCTTAAACTATCTACCTTGGCTGCACCCGTACCTTTTCAACAAAAATATTGTTCAGAAAATTTCAACCAAAACTTTTAGTTGTGTAATTGTTTTATAAATCGTTAATTACCAGCACTGTGTTTGCTAGCTTGCTGATATCTTGTTCTCACACTATCCATATCCAATATTAACCGAGCTAAATTTCTTTTATGCTTTAATATATTTGGTACATCTGTATCTAAAATATGTTGTAGAGGGCTTGTTACATATTGTTCAACTTTTGCTTCATGTTCGATTGTTTCATTCGCTAAAGACATTTGTGCGCGACCACATTCTGTAAGCGTAAAACCCATGAGGCCATCCTCGGGAGCATTTTCTTGCATTGTTTGTCCTAATACGTATTCTGGGCATTTTTTCTAAAAATTAGATACATATTAAATAAAACTACTATATTAAGAAAAACATAAATGTTTAATTACAATTAAACTGCAATATGTCTTTTATTTAATTACTATTTTAATTTATATTAGAATATTTTTCTATAAAACAGTTTAATAACAAATTCTTGTTATTAAATATTACCAGCCGTTTTTCTTTAATTGCAATATCCTGTGCTATAGCTTGATTTGGAGGATTAGCAAGTCTTTTGTTTAATCCAACAAGAGCCAACCTAATTTGCTCGACATGTTTGTCTGCAGCTTGTAAATCATCAGTCAGTACTTCTGTCTTACCAGCTCTATAAAAAAAGAATGTTTGGGACAGTTTTACAAACCAATAAATTTACATCAAACTGAGATTCAAAGCTGTGTAAAGTCAATCCATTTTAAGATTCTCTGATTCATAAGTTATTTTGGTATACCGTGCCTGCTATTATTGGTTGCGTATCATTAAAACTTTCATACTAAAAAATGCAGAAAGGGAGAGCGAAGTAGGTGTCACTCTTATCTTTTTGTTATCAAATGCTAAGATATCAAATAAATTGTTTGCTTTTCGTCTTTTATAATGTATTTGTAAATGATTTCAATGTTACCATAAACATTTTACTTTCCATGAAACACATAAAGAGGATTTTGTGAGTGTTGAAGAAGTAAACAGAAAGAAAATGTTTAGAGGAATTATTACCTAGAAAACGTTTGATCTGCGAGCTGTTTAACTCTGAAAAACTGTTTCTTCATGATTGATAAGCATTTAACACTTCTTACATAAATAAACTTCTATTTTACTCAACTATATCAGTCACATAAACACTTGTCACTTGTTGACTTTAATGTTCACAGGTATGCATTTTTAATGCGATCGTGCGACACTAAAAATATACAGGCTTGACAGAAAAAGAAGGAAAACTCCTTTGCATTACACTTCGGCGACGACAATTCGTCATAGTGTTTGTACAGTGATTTCATATCCTTTATAAGCGAGTTCCAGTTCTTGAACCAGTCTATCTTGTTGTACCATCAATAAGTTGCTACTTTCAAAGAACGTTTGCAAAATTTAATACCGAAATTATCCCGTTTGTAAACGTGTCAAAACGTCGCAAATTTTAGTCACGGCATTTTATACTCTTGCTCGCCAGGTGACCGCATTAAAATGTATACAAAACTGCATAAACCTTCCACACCTCACATTCTTCCTCACCACGTCGATTTCTTATCGTTTCACAATTTTTTTTTATTAACTTCCAGAATTCTATCGGAGCATCCGATAACGGGATAGTCAACGAGTTTTTACTGGGAACGGTACGCCATTTTCGTTCGTCTCTAAGGTTTAGAACGAATAATCATCCTCCTGGCGGCAAAATTTAAATTAACATTTCCATCGCAGAGAACCAACGATTCAATTATCATATTTCTTTGAAATCAATTAAAGTATTTTTCGCGTAAGTATTGTGCTAAAAATATAAGAGCTTCTCAACATGTTTTATAATGTAAACTACAGCAACACAAATATATAACCACAAACAAATTTGATTCGACTTATTCTCCAATAACATATAATTGTTTTCCGGATTCATATGAAATAATATTGTATTTACATTAAAAATTTTAGATTTATTAATTTTTGTTCGTTATCGAACAAAGAAAGAGATCCGTTACGTCACCTATGGGAAAATGACAAAATTATGAACATGAATCACAGCTAACAATTTGGACAGTTTGCCGCAGATGGCACTACGGGTTATGTCGATCGCACAACATATTGTATAATATGTATTTTAATTAAAGAAACGTTGAATCATAATTTCTATACATTATCGTACTTTAGTAAATAAACTACAATACATTGTAATGATCAATGAGCAAAAATTTCTTGTTACAATACTTTACGTTTGATAGTGCGTTGCATAATAATAATACGTATGAATGTATATGTGAGTATGTATGTTATTATGTTCCGACGATAACTTCAAATCGTGTAAACAGGAGGAAAGGACAGTACACATTGCTACACATCATAGACACGACACTATACTCGTGGTTTTCTTTTACCATCGCACAGCCACCATCTGTTAACTAGAAACGTACGGTTTTCTACTGTGAAACTTCAAAACGTGCGCGCGAAAAACGATCAAGTTTCTTCATTTCCTTCTCGATTTGAAATATTTTATTTAACGTGATCAACATGACATTAAATAGGAATTTTATAAATGTGATGATACTGAGTTGGGGTTTCATGTTGGTATTTACCGCATTTCAAACGATGGGAAACATTGAGGTGAGTGCGTGAGCAACGTTGACATATACGTTTGACAAGTGAATCAGGTCAATTTTTTTAGACAGATGTATTTACTTATTTCTGTAACTGCCGTAGTAGACGTATACTTTTAAAATTCTATCCACGTCGAATCATGTACATAAGCAGTGACGTGCGCAGTATGCGAAATTTAAATGCCGACACGCATTGTTTTTTTCTTTTCGCGTCGTTTCAATGTGTTTTATTATATTGTCCGTGTACACCGCATACATGATACATCTTATCTGAACAGCGTTTATCACGTACAATAGTTTAAAAGAGAAGAAACCGGTTTAAATTTTTAATTTAATTGAAGTGTGAAAGTTTAAAGAATGATCATGTAATGCTTCAAGTGTTGACATTTCATAGTTCCTTTGTGCTCTTTGAAATTGTTAATATGTGCTAATTATATTTCAAACAGAATTTCAAACAGAAAATACTGTTCATGTGTACAAATTCATTGTAAACAAAATTGTTATTAAATGTAATTTGTATATGTAAGGAGACATGAGACATTTGATACATTCCAATAATTATCAAATACACATACACACACCCTGTTAATAAATATACCTTGACAGAGGTTATTGTACTGTCAAAAAAATATTTACCTGAGAAAGAATAAACAGCTTATATGTGTGATTTCAAGGTGATCCACACAGAATAAATACAGAATCTACAAATTGATACGTTTTTAAAATATCTAACATACATATATGATAATCTTTCTTTATTTGAGTTATAAATTCAAGCTATTGAAAATACAATAATGTATGTAAATGATAACATTTATACGTTATTTTACATTATTTATACAATTTTTAATGTATTATTTGATATGATTATTCCATCTGGTTCAGGTTAACTGGAATGTAGGACACTAAAACCCGATCAAAGATCTATTCTTATCAGTGAGGAAACAAGCATTTAATATTTCTTAAAAAATCACATTTGAGATAGGCTTGCCATAAAGTGATATTGATAATTTTAAGACTGTATAGTTATAAAATAAACATTATAGCAGATATGACAATTTTTTGATATGCAAGATAAGGAAAAAGATATATGCTACATATGTTTGCTTGGAAAGCATATTTCACATACTCTTTTCTATGTCATCACATATATATTAAATTGTGTTTGTTTTTTATACAGAAAACTGTGCTGCAAAGTATTACAGATGAAGACAACAGTTTCACTGGCGACGCCTACACGAGCTTATCCATTATTTATGCAGTCTTCGCTACTTGCAACTGGTTAGCTCCATCGTACATCTCTATGTCAGGGCCACGAGTTGCTATTCTAACTGGCGCTTGCTGTTACGTCCTTTTCATAGCGTCGTTCCTGTGGCCTCACAATGCTCTACTCTATATTGCCTCCTGTGTCCTTGGTCTTGGAGCTGCTTTGATATGGACAGGGCATGGACAGTACCTAACAGAGAACAGCAACACCGAAACCATGTCCAGAAACGCAGGAGTGTTCTGGGCAATCTTCCAAACGTCGATGTTCATCGGCAATCTATTCGTGTACTTCATGTTCATCAATCCCAAAATCGATGGTTCGACGAGGATAATCGTTTTTAGCGTGCTAACCGGCTTATCTATCGCCGGCACCTGTCTCCTGGCTACATTGAGGAGTTCATCACAGAGGCTGGTTCTGGGTGAGGCTGAAGGAGTCTCCAGTGCTGACAGGGAACTTCAGATACCAGAACCAGCAAGAGAAAGGCCATGGATAGCCGCCTGGGATGCGCTTATAGATGCGTCCAGTCTTTTCTTGACGCTAAAGATGCTTCTGTTGTCCTTGACCTTTATATACACTGGTCTTGTCTTAACGTTCTACTCAGGCGTCTATTCTTCAAGCATTGGATTCACCAAGGCAATTGGCGAGACGCGTAAGAGCCTGGTAGGTCTTTCAGGAATTTTTATTGGAATTGGTGAGGTCATGGGTGGAGCCATCTTTGGTATTTTTGCATCAAAGCTGGCCCGCAATTGCGGTGGATGGTTGGTTGTAGTTACGGGATTTGGTGTACATCTATTTGCTTTCATCTCCATTTTCTTGAACTTGCCAAACGACTCACCGTTTTCGGAGACCGACAAAGTAGGGTTCATCACACCTTCACCAATCTTAGCTATGGCCGGAAGTCTTGCATTGGGCTTTGGTGATGCTTGTTTCAACACCCAAATATACTCATTGCTCGGTACCCTTTTTGCGAAACAGAGTGCATCAGCATTCGCACTGTTCAAATTTTGCCAGTCGGTCGCGGCTGCCATCAGTTTTGCCTACAGCAGCAATGTTAATCTTTATATACAGCTTCTTATATTGACGATAACTACCGTCATCGGTACCGGTGCCTTCTGTTATGTCGAACGCATTTCGAGAAGGGAAGCCGACAACGCCCTGACCGACACCAACCCTACTCTCGTTGAGTAGAAAACAGACTGTGAATGTGTTCAACCAATAACTTGCAGTGATTGAAAACGCTCTATTTACTCTACATTATTAGAATGAACCATTTGGGTCACTTAGCTTGACCTCTATAGTCAGCAAGATCCATTTGAAGATTTCTCTTGATGTGGATACTCTTATTTTACATAAGCCAGAATAGTCATCCTACAACATTGGATGATTTCAGTAAGTAATGACTAAGTCTTTTACTGTTGGTGGATGCAGCAATATTTTTACTCTAGCTGCTGATACCATATTAAACATGTTAAGCTAGTCGTTTGGCAAGGGATATGACAATGAATGAGAATCTGAAACACAGAACAAAAAACAACAGTAACTATGGAATAACTAAATTTACTAATTTTTAATAGAATAATTTGTTTTATACCTTATTGGAGAGACGTGAGGCATAATGTTTTAAGTATCAGAACTGTTATTATCGTACATGTATTGTTGTTATGTAAGAAACTTTATATCAGAGCATTGCCAAATCATAGCAATGATCCATTCTTCTTCGTAATGCGGCACAATTTGTGAGATGCCCTAAAGCAGTGGTAACTACAGTAAAATCTCTCGGACTGTCGCCGGGACCGAATTGTAAGGCATTAGCTCTAGCGTACGAAGATTTCATTCCTCGAATCTCACGGCTTGCCACTACATATAGTTGCCAGCACCCCATGAGAGAGAAAGAGAGATAAAATGAAACTCGAGTCGAGGGAAACCTACCTGGAAAGACAGCGGCAATCGGTGTACATTACTATGAATACATTATAGTGCTAGAATAAAAACGATGACTTAACTCTTTTTTTTCTAATTTTTCATACATGAAAATTTGTTCAACATATTGGTGAGATTCTTCCAATTAAAATGAGACCAAACACGACATGCTTTAGTCCATATTTATACAATTACATCGTGATTGATCTTATTTTGTGCAATCATAAATATTTGTCCAAACTATACCATGTCTGGTCTCATTTCAATCAGAACTATCATTAATATGTGAAAAAAGAAATTAGTTTTAGAATGTTAAAATTAAAAAAAGTTACGTCATTGTATCATGAGTTGTCTTTCGAGAATTGGAATCAAATGAGCCGCGTCGATAAATTATAGGGCCGTGGCAATATCGCGATATCAGTGATGACCTACTGAAGTTACGCTGGGAAGAGAGACACTACTGTATTTTATATTCGCTTTGACTGCCGGCCAAAAGCGACGTTAAGAAGGGAAAACTATACTTTAGAAACTGCGTCTTCGAGGATAAATTTTTATATCCACAGAAAATGAGATTCTTCCTTTAATTATCTTAGATATGCGTTAAGAACAGCATGGGATAAGTTCATATTGTTATAGAAAATTTTTTATAATGAAAATTAATAATATAAAATAATTGATTTTATAATCAATGAAGTGCAATAATGTTCAACTGTACTGCAATGAACATAAACCTTCGTGTACAATCCGTTCAACGAATAGAATCAGTAGCTGTGAACAATTGTTAATGTTCTGTTTGCGTGGGCTGATTTGTCTCTTTGAACGGACTTTATGTAAGCATTCCTTCACATAGGATAATTATGAAAAAATTGTTATATATTTGTACCATTATGAAGAGTGATGTATATTTGTAATTTTCACTGTAAAGAAATAATGGATTATTTAATATTTCTTAGGATTAGCACGGAATTTGTGATTTCCGTATGCCACCTAGAAATTGAATTATCTTAAAAACTATACAGAAGTCATTACGAATTGTTCTCGGAAAAGTATCTACAATCAAATTATACATTTCAAACATTTGATTTTTCAAGTGA